TATTAACGATACAAACATGGTTTTCCGTGTAATAACCGAATGATTGCAACAACATCAAACAACCCTGTGTAATAATGGCCTACTATTGTTTGTTATTATTAATGTAAAATGTAGTGAAATATGTACCTAAAAGTTTAAGAAAAAAAAATTCTCAAAACATTCATATTTTCAGAGAAAATGAGTGTCTTACGTTAGTTGGATCACCATGTATAAATACCGTTTGGTTTCAGTAGTAATTATGATAATATACCGTCTATCTCGTTGATCGTTGCGATTTCCTATAATTATATTACACACTAAGACAGTCGCTAAGCTGTATTAAAAGCAGAACTGATTAGTTTTCAGGCATGCGTTAAACCAGTTAAAGTATAACACAAATGCACCGTTGGAAAATCACAATTGTCAGTAGCTCTCCTATTGCAATTGATTTCTAATAATTTTTTTTTTTTGTTATAAAAGAGTTTATGTCCTATTTCTAAAGAAAGTAATGGGCCCGGCACATTTAACCGAAACTCGAACAATGCGGTGTCGTTTTCCACACTCAACGGCAGCTCAACCCGTCGACATTAATTTATTTTTATTGTTGTAATGCAACCCGTAAGTACGACATATTTTTTTGCCAAGCCGAAAGTCAATATTAACACGAGGGCACACGATGACAGCGGAAACGAGATTGAATAAATTGCATTTTTCCCAGTGACAGGATAAATAAAAGTTTTCTTTTTTTTCATTCCTGCAGACGCGATTGACATACATAAGCTTGTATATGTAGGTACGTCTCAAGTTATCCGAAAACTCATCGAAATTGAATTTCTTTTCTCTGTTTTTTTGTTTATCACCGAAATGTTATACATACACTCAACCGTTCTGTTCACATCCTATAACGTACATAATACAGCGTTGCACGATATTCTGTTCGGCGTTCGGCAAACAAAATACAAACTACGAGTACATCTTTTTTCAACGGACCGACTAAATTATTTTTCGCACATTTCATGTACCCGCTCTCTTCTTAACTTGTTGTTCCTTTTCGTAACTGCTTGTTGGCAAGTAAAAACTTGTAAAAGAAAAAAAAACCAACGACAAATGTTGTAAAAAACCAATAAAAACGAGGCGTCTAGTGCTTTATTGATAACCAGTTGAATGTTGTTAAAGTTTAAAATTTGTGCAGATAAAAATTACTCTACATTCCACTTTTCGTCCCGTGCTTAGATTATGAAACTTTTAAAACTGTTTAAAATTTATTATCGAGAGTGTCTCAACAAACCGTTGCCATTCGAAAAGCTCGAGTTCACAAGGCTTTAACCGAGTTGAACTTTTAACAGCCACCTAAAGAGGTATTGAAAAGAATCGTTTTTAAATGTCTTCTAAGATGTCTACTGGGTGGACCAATCACTATATAACGTGAATAAGTCTAAACGCTGTCTGATCGACAAACGAACATATTTTACTATAACATACGGTGTCTCTAAACGGAATACGAAAATATGTCGTTATACTTACATCGGTACACACACGGTTGAGTGTACACTGTCTAAGTGAAAATATAAACGAGTGTTGTGCAACGTCTTTACCTGGAAAAACAGCGTTAAGCTGTACGTGCTTGCCTTCTTGCTAGTGCAGCGACGGCCCCAATTTCCCAAAGATTTCTAGGAGAATTGTCCCAAAATTCTGGTGAATTCCATTCCGACCGACTTTCGTCAACCGTGTGGTGGCCTTTGCCGAGCAAACGACTTAACGGTATTTGTGTGAGTTTATGTACCATCATTATTGTGTTTGCTTTCGCCCACAGATTGGATGGTATATTATTATTTTTTTTTTTCGGTATCTGAGAATTCCGGATTTATTTTTACCCCGTCGTTTTCCAGAAACATGTGACACGCCGAGTAAAAACGTAAAGCATTCTTTTACATTACTTACTTACCGTAGTACTTGTTCGTGGTTAAGGAGTACGGCCAGTGTTGTTTGTACTGTGAAAATAACAGCAACAAGTGATAACGGGTACCGAAGGGGGTTAATCATTTCAAACATATTATATATTAGAGGATAATCTCGCTTTGTGCGTACTTGGTATTGGAGCGTTCAAGTTTTCTTTCCACTAGTCTCTCTATAACCTAATATATATTTTTCTTGGATACGCAATAACTGTAAAATATTATATCATATAAAAACTGCTCCGGGGAAAGTTCATGGAAATAACGAAAGAATCGGCTCTAAGGACAAGACATGTCTGGACCTTAACAATTGGCAGACCGAAGTATTGACTTTTCTAAGAACACACTATGACATCTAGGACCGCGAGCGATTAGAAATTGAGAATGAATAACACACGTTGAAATAGAAACCATCTTCTCGGTAGACGGAATAATATCGTTAAGACTTTGAGAGAGAAATTATTGTTCTCATTGCTTGAAACTGCCATCCGTTATGGTAACCTTTTGACCATTATAATTTTATGTTGACTTTTTGCATTTATTTAGCTCTCGTTAAAACGAACGAATGTTCAAACAATATTCTTTTGTTTGCGTTCATTAACATAAATGTTTATTTTACGAGTAAGTCTGAATCGCTATATTATTATAATTTTTGCGCCCGTTATACGGATGTATAGTCAACACATGTTACTTACCGACACAGCTATACTCGCTTGGTGTTTGGATACAAGTGAATATGCATAATATAATATTGTGTAAGTATTATTGTGAAAACAGAATCGTCCGGATTATTTACCTGATCTGAGTAAAAACAAGTCATTGACTAACGTTGAGTTTGATTTCCGAGCAAAACACAATTTGGTTGGGTGAAAAAAAAAACATTTAAATCGTTGCATAGCCTAAGGATACTGCCAGAAAAAAAAATAACTACCATAAAAGAGTCTACTGAACCATTGATTACATAATACAGTTTAAATTATGATTTTGCGAACAATTGCTTATACCCTTATTGCTTTTATAAAATTGCTTGTATAACTTACTAATCTGGGGTACAACGTCCGCTCAATTTACAAGGGAAATACTCTTAAAAAATATATAGTTATTAAACTATTATATTATAATTAAAACTGCTTGTTGTTAATTCCCCAAAATGCTCATTAAAAAATTATTTCTATCATCTACGACTTGTCTAAAAAGATACTATTTTTTTTAAATGAAAAGATAAATTATTTCAAACGGCTTTTGCTATAGGCAATATTAGTGCTTGTTGGTGTAGGAGACCACTATGTGTCTATCTGTTCGAAAACGGGCGTCTGAAACTGTGAAAGCAACACCAGGTAAATCCAGGTGAAATTGTTTTTGAATAATATTGTTTTACTTATCTTAAAATATTAGACTTAGCAGTAGTAGTGCAACCACGTTTTCTATTTGAAACGGTTAAGAACTTGTAATGTTATGCGTGTCTTTTTTTACTATAAACCGCAAACTATTCAACTACTTAACGGTTAATATTATTAACGTTATTAGAACTTTGTTATCTAAATACCTACAGAGAGGATATAATAATGTACGATAGCAATAATAAGCCTCTCTGAGCAAATCTTTTGTTAATAAACTTTACAAGCTTACATTTTAACCTTTACGCTAGGTATACACTCTGTGATAACATAAAGTTGTATAAATAAATACTGATGAACTACATCGTGTATACTTTCCACTCCGTTAACGGTCCAACAACATAAAATATGTATGCCTACATTTAAATAGAAACTATTCTAATTAAACGGATTTTCGTCTTATTGTAAAACATATTTTTAATCACTGTTGAATCTTTTTTTTTTAAAATATTATTTAGTGTGTTAGCAACTTAGATTAATAAATTTAATACAAGTTTTATCTTTAATCAAGCGATATTAGGTATTATAATAAATCATTTATTTCAGGAAATTAACTAAATTATCCGTTGTTGAATTTTGTAGCTTCATAACCATAATTGCCTCTTTTCTGCATAAAATCGTATATTTTTAAAATTGAAACCTTTTATTAAAACAATTATTGTTGATATTTGTAAAACAAAATTACCAACTGCAGAAGAAAAATATGAATGCTGATTTTAGAGATAAATTTTTTTCCTTTTTTCACTTGTCAATATTAATATTACAATCTAGTTGAAAAGAAATAATTTCACTTAGACACATTGTAAACTAAATATTGTTTGCTTCTATTAAACATTTTTTTTTTAAATAAACATGTTTTTGTTCATACTAATATTAGTAATTATGTATACAATGCATTGAAGTGCCGGGTCTAAGTCATCACGGCTTAATTTTTAATAATTTTGTAAACTATTCCACTTACATATTTTTTGAGTCAATTTCTGACTGCCGTTTTTTATTTTACTTATCACCAACTATAATTTCTATACAAAGTGATCAATCTAACAAAGACACTCATAATTATCTCGGTAAATAATTGCAATTTTGTAGTTATTTTTTAAATATTACTTGACAATATTATAAAATTATTAAATTTTAATGGATAGTGAAGAACTTTATCTACGGGTTAGCGTTTTTGTTTTTTTTTGATAACTTAAGCACAATAAAAATTATTCATTCGTGAAGATACATTTTTTTATTTGTTTTTAAAAATATATTCAGTATAGGTATCAAAAGTATTAAGACGCTACCCTACAGATAAAGTTCTTCTCCATACATTATGATAATTTGGTAATTCTATTATTTAAATACTGGCCCCACATACTTGTCCCACGCAAAGCATTTTTTGATGGAATAATCAATTAGTAATTTATCCTATAGAAATAACTGTGAGAAAAAAAATGGCAATCAATAAAGTAGCCTTGTTACTGTATTAATAAATGAACACTATAGTTCAAGCACTAAATTAAACGATCGCCCTGTAGTTGTGTATGGACAAGGGGAAAACGGAAGTGGGTTTTGTTTAGATAATTATATAGGTACTCGTGCGTTGCCGATAGAGTAACACGAGGGACGGTTACAAATTGAAATCGTTTATTTTAAAATATATGTTTTTTTTTAAATTTGGCGACTACGCGACCCGTTTGGGAACGGCCATCTGCACGGGCAACGTGTCGGCCGAAGACGGAGCGGGAACCGCGGACGACGTGGGCTCCACCACCGCGTATGATTCGGCCGCTCTTTGCTCGGACTGCTGCTGGCCTAGGTCGGTTTTGGCGGCGACCGATACGGGCACTCTGGGCAACTTGCCGGCGGTCACGTAGTCCTGTATGAAGTTGTAGCACATGGTGGACAGCATTTCCCCTTCGAAGATCAACGGCACCAGCCGGGTCATCTCGTCTTCGTCCTGCTGTTGGCCGAACAGAAGACCGCGGCGGTGTCGGTCGTAGAACCTCCGGCGCTGCAAAGGTCCGCCGCCGCCCGGCTGGGGCAGCACTCCGGCCGGCAGCTGCTGCTGCTGCTGGTACTCGAAGAACTGCGGGTAGCTCTTGCGGCGCAACACCATCAGCCACGGCAGCTTGGACGAGACGGCCACCAAAAGCACGGAGACGGGCACTTGGATTTGGGCGCTTTTGGCGAACTGCAACTGGGCCACCGTCTCGGGCGTGATCAACACGGCAAAGTATTCCGTGTCTTCTTCCGTGTCTTTGACGAACGAAGACGGCGACCCCGGCGCCCCGGACTGCGGTGGTTGTTGCTGCTGCTGCTGCTGTGCCTGTGGTCCCATGGCCGACCTCACTTCCTGGATGCCGCCGTTGGTGACGAACGCCTCGTATTCGCTCTTGTCCTTGTCCAGCTCTTTGATGATGAACACCGGCCCCTTGTAGTTGGCCACCTGGTTGTAAGGTCCTCCTTTCGACTGCGGTTGTATTCTGCTGCCAGCACTGCCGCCGTTCCCGGACAACCCTGAACGCAAGACAAACTATTTAGATAAACTCCGCGTCCAATAAGAGAAAAATCAATTGTGCAGCCGAGACTTAAATGTTGTGCATTCAAAGGCATTTTGTCACGGATTAAATGAAACCAGATAGTGCAGTCTACTTAAAAATGTAAACAAACTTTAATAATCTCAGATCGGTGTGGTAAAAACATTTTTTTTAAAAAATTATACTTTTGTTCTATGGTGTTGTCGAAGAAATCTGATCAAGCATCTGCAATGTTATCACTACTTGTTACTATTCTCTAGATTGTTAGGTAAACTCAACATGGACATAAATATAGGATGGAAGATGATGAATATAAATACAAGTCTCGGCTGCTTACTATAGAAAATACTATCTTAGTATCTATTTAAATTATGTTATCTAGGTAAAACATCAAAAACATAATAATAATGAAACGATTTGTAAAAAATTTGTTAATTTTGTTGAAACATATTTTAACCTCCTAAAAAAACATGATTTAAAATATATCAACAGTTTTTAAACAGTTTTTTTAGTGTGTTCCCTGATGGCATCGGGAAGTTGAAAAGCTATACAAGAAGCCAATTGAACTCCAGGAAGATAACTGCAATATCCCATATTACCTTCCCAACTTTCCTTATGTCATAAGAGTTTTTATAAATTTTACTATTCTCACACAGCAAAAATTTATTTTAAAAATATAATTCTTTATAATAGTTATTTGTATATCATAATATTTTTTAAAAGAAACCTAAATACTATTAATATACAAATGTTTCAGTAATAATGCCAATAAATGTTAACTGTTATACAATGTTAAAAATATATTTTTATTCCGTAAAAAAGATGCGAATAGAGACAACCGCAAGAAAACGCCAGAAACTTATTAAAGAAACTAGTTGTATAATATTAATGATATATGATAATTTTAGATAATATTATATTTAAATTATTCTAGTTTTTAATTTGATTGTATAGGTTGCATTTATTTGAAAGTGTTTTAAAAATATTATCGTTTTATGACTGTTCTATAGATTACTATTCATTTTGATTGCTTAAAATTTGTTAGTTAATTTGTGTTTGCGTGCAACAAACACATTTTTTAAAAGTTAAAGCTTAAAATTTAATATAAATTTGTCGTGCTCTCAGAATTTAGTAACGACTTGAATAAGTCTAAATGTATAAGTTGAAAATGTTGTGCGTTTTAAAATTCCAAGTATTATAAATCATTTGAAATCTGACAAAGAAATGTAATTGTATGAGTTTATTAAAGACTAGTATTCAAACCATGTTTACCTATAAATATACAAAATGTAATTATGAAACTATGTTTTCTTAGAATTATTATTATTGTGAGGCGGGTTCCATTTTAAATAATAATAAAATTACTTCTAATAAAGATGTCTATTGTAATTTAAAAATATAGTTTATTGTACCCATTTCTATAACTGTTCTCCGAAGAATAATATGAATACTAATTTCGTGATAAAATATTATTTGAAAATGAACAAACTGAAAATGCATTTGTTTTCTAAGATTTTTGTCTGATTTTTTTTTAACTTAAATGAATTCAAGCGAATAATTATTTGTGTTTCTACTTTTAAACAAAACTTAGTGTTTAAAATTTAAATTGTCATGAAAATTATGCACTTGTGGTTTTATTAAAATTTAAAGCACGTCTTAATTTGTGAAATATGTTTATTTGTTAAATAATGAAACATAAAATAGTATTTAAAAACAATTTAACTAGAATAATGTTTATTATAATTTTTCATAAATAAAAATCTAATATAACTAATATGGGTGCAAGCAGTGAGTTGGCGTTCACTGTCACCGACTGGACTTTCTGGACAGGCGATTGTCTAAAGACAGAAACCCGTTTATAATTTTCATCCTTAACGTTTGCCCATAAGGTTCAGCTCGAGTGTTATTGGAATTTTAAGACTAGAAAAATATTAATAATACAAATTGTATACAATTACATACCTGGTATTTTGAACGCTGCGGCCGACTGCAGCAGGATAGCCACGGTAACGGCTGTCGTTAACACCCTTGTCTTGCGATAGTCCTTCATGTTGATCGTTCGGTAAGTCACTGGTGCGACCGTTTAACCAGCTACCGTTCTTAAATACACCAGTCGGCCAAGATACATTATCCTACCCCTATAACCGGTGTCTCTCGAACGTCAGGTCTCTGTGTAATTTGTTGTATAGTTTTTTTTTTGTTGTAATTTTTTTATACACGATATACTGCTTTACCGGACCCTTGTCCGAGATAAGAGTCCGGTAGTAGTCTAGACACACTAAGGGGGTGGTCGTATGGTTACACGAGGAATTATTAACCTGAAATTCCACAGAAATTCCACTAGCCCGGGGTAGATATCATGTCGGGGGTGCGTTACCCCGGCGGCGGCCGCACAAACAGCAGCATGGGAAAAATAATAATAACAATAATGATAGGTATTATATAATGATTTGTATGAAACGCACTCCGAGCGGTCGGTGAAATATCAGAAAAAATAATTATTATTAAACCTCCGATTTTACCTTTGTACGTCCAAACATACACGTTTCTTACTGTTACTTACACTGCTATGATGCTATTAGAAAACAAAATTGAGATAAATTTTTTTTTATTCAAACCAACACAGCTAAAGCGACCAAGTCAGACCGCAATGTATAAAACAAATACTGAAAAAAAAATGGTGTGAAAATGTTTTAAAAAATATACGTTGTTGGCCTTATGCAGTTTAAAATATTTAAATAATAATTTTCAGCATATTATTCTTAATTTAAAAAACCCATTAAATAAATAAGTTACCAATTAAATTTCAAAAGTTGATAAAGCTGGATACACATTTGAGAATAGAATAACTACAAAATTGCAATTATTTAAAACTAAACTAGTGTGGGGCGTTAAAAGAATCTGATCATGCCTATGTATAGAACATTCCACACAACAATCCTTGACTAAAATACCCTTTAAAGTAATATTTTTTATTTAATAAATACTTTTGACAAGATTTTACTTAAAAATATATTAACGATATATTTACGAATTATTTCATTGAAAAAATTATTCTAAAATAACATTTTGATCACGCCGTATTTCGAAAATATTTACTGACTATTTTTTAAACATTAAAATTAGACTTTTCACTTTTTCGGGTCATTGTTTATGCACATATTTAGTAGTTTGCACATATTTATTTTGCTAAACTAATTATTTTACAGTGATAACTCATAATAAGTAATTTACAAAGTACATAAGTTTTCCCAACAAAATAATTTAATAGGCCAAAAGAGAACGTTATATTATGATCAACTAGAAAACATTTTGAGGTATATTGTTCAACGCAATAAGGATAATAGATTTAAAAAATCAATGATTAACCTCTTATGTGGTATTTCTTATGATTAAAATTGTGTTTAATCATTGATGGCCAAAAGCGAATTTTTTAACTTCTAAAAATATAGTAAAAACAGTTTTTATTATTCGTATGATGCTAAATTGTTGTATTTTTTTCAAGCTTAGCTAAAGTTTCCAATGGTATGGACTACAATTTATGTGTGAAGAAGTTTTTAAAAAATCATCGTTTTAACATATTTGTTTGTGCATTTTAATTTAAAACAGTAACACGTTTATATTAAAAAACGATAAAATAGACGGTTAAACTGCACGGTTTCAGCTTGTGACATCCTAGTGAAAAATGTCTTAAATATTTAGCGTTATTTCGCGACCAATTTTATAACCGTTACAGAAGTGGTACAGCCAAAAACAAAGGTGCACCGAGTTCATTATTGTACTATATGATTAATATTGTGTACTTCTTACAGAGCCTATACATATAATTTATATATTGTATAATGTAGCATTACTATAATATGTCACCGTGTCTAGGTGCTTTATATCCGGGAATGCATTTCATTATCAACGGTCGTCCGGCACGCCCAAACCTAATGGGACAGACGTTTTATCGTGACTGTATATAGTTAGTGCCGCTGACAGTTTGCCTTAATACGTGAATGATTTTATGGCCCGGCAAATAATGTATTATACGATTGAACGGCATTCGCTTCTTAATGAGCGACAACGAGACGCTTTTAAAAGACCTCTCCTCTCTCTGCATATTATATTAATATTATAGTGTATAGTTTTGCATTTGAACGCGCACAAAGTATTATAATATGGACTGTAGACACACGTCACTCGTTTTTAGGGTCGACTTGGCGAGATACTTGCACGACGTGTGACGTTAAATGATTTTTCAAACTTGCCAAACTCGCCATGTAGGCATTCAAAGTGCATTATAATTATTAAAAATCGGCAAAATAGAGGTGGAGCATAATATAGTGCGGCGGAAAGGTCTGTGCTGTCCGGACCCTTTGAAAACAATAAGGATCCATCGCGTCTTCGTTGGGTCAAAGATCATTCATTCGGCATACCTTTGCTCAGACTCGCCGAATCCCCCCAATAATGTGTATAATATATAAATGCATTTCATCAATATTTAATTTCCTGCTAAAATATTTTACAAAAATACCAGTTAAGTAAACACACTATAGGTATACCTGATAACTTCTATTTTAATAACAAATAATAATAATTGGCAAAAAAAAAAAGTGTTGCTTTAAATACATTTGAAATAAACGTTTAAATATTTTAAAAACATGATTGCAATAATTGTAATGATTTTTATAAATTTCATAATTGTTACTTGAAAAACATGTTTTTTTTTTTTTAAATAGGTAACTGTATATTTTTAAAACTATATTAGTTTTTTGTTTTACAATTCAATGGACTAGTCGATATATTTAGTAGATTATTCTCAATATATTAAGTCACACACACAAATGCATACGTTACCGTTGCTAAGAAATTTAAAATCTGAAATTACTAATGATGTTTTGTTTAAAGA